TCGCCGGTGTGCCTCATGCCACCGAGCGCATTCTTCTACTCGCAAGGTGCCTACGCGCAAACTTGAGAGAAATAAAGCATGTCTTCTTCGATGCCATGGGTCGTGCATCCCCCGCAGCGCATCCAGGCCACCTGCGAGTAGCTACCTCCTCTGCATGCAGTGGGACGCGCTTGCCGTCATATATGCCAGCCAGCGGCAGAGCCCCCCTCCCCCCCCCCCCCGAGGGCCCCGAATTCGTGCGCGCGCCGCCGCCCGCGCCCGCCGTCCTGCCACCCCTCCTTGGCCTCCCGGGGGTGGGTCGCCGGAGTGCGCTGCGAGGGGGTCGGGGGATGTCGCGCCGCGCCGGCGATGCGTCGGCGATGCCTCGGCGGTGCGGCGCCGACGAATGCGATGTGGATCAGTGTCGAGCGTGATCTTCGTCGAAAGGCGACAAACACCACAAGCATCAACTGTTGGCGTTGATTTCTTGGATCCGCGCTGGGCCCCCTCGGCGGCGTCTTCGGCGCCGCCCTTGGCGCGCTCCGGGCGCCAGGGAGAGGGGTCCAGCGCAGATCCAAGAGATCCGCGCGGAGCGTCGAACATTTATCTTTATCGCGTTTTGTTATTATATTTCGCCACGCCGGCGTCGCCGATGCATCGCCGATGCATCGTCGATGCATCGCCGCTTCATCTCCGCTACATCGCCGCTGCATCGCCGATGCATGCGATCCTCCGACCCATCTGCTCGGACCACGTGAGCGACGCAACAAACGGGTTCATCCATGCAAGCCTTGGCGCGTAAGTTGCCCACGCAAGGTCGCGCGTAAGCGCATTTTTTCTCCAATGCAGCGTTTCGCGCTGGCGGCCCGCGTAAGCCGTCGCACAAAGTCGCGATGGCATCTTGCTCAAGACTCGTTTTTGATTGTCGCTCATCTTCACCGAGCGCGTTCCACTACTCGAAAAGTGCCTACTCGCACCCAGCAGGAACAACATCATAGATGTCTATTTCGGTAATGGACCGTAAACTCCAAGCGGCAGGTTCAACCCATTCGCGAGCAGTTGCTCTACGAGTAGTGGAACGCGCTTGTCGACATCTGCTTGTGCCACGTCTGGGAGGCCTCCTCGCGGGCAATACTTCTGCCCACATCCTCTGCAGTAAGGAGTTTCGGGCCCCCTTCCCAGAAGCCCGAGGCAAACTGGATATGGATGATTCTGCCCCCTACAAAGGCTTGCTTTTTGTCCACATCCAGTGCGCCTCGGCCTTGCGGCGCCCCTCCCAATAATGTCCGAGACTCACTAGATTTAAGCTGTCTCCATCGTGCTTAAGGACCACATCCCAGAAGTAACTTTGAACACCCAGAAGAGTACCCAACCGGCGACGGCCCGCCACGCCAGCGAAGGGTCGAGAGAGCACCGCCTCCCATGGCCAGACGTGTGCAAACCCCCCAGTGCCAGTACTCTCTCTTGGTGCGCTCGAAGTGCATCTCTGGTGATCCAGGCTCAAGTCGGTTGGAACCTCCGAGCGCTGGATGTGGATCGAAGTCTTGCCCCCGCTCCTGCAGGGGGTGGACCTACACGGTGTTTTTGGCGATGCCGTGGGCCGTGTTCGTCTCGACTTCGTTTTTGTGGAAAGGCGGATTGAAGACACAATGAGGGAACACGAACAACAAAAAAAAACGAACAAAACAAAAAACGAGGGAACAGAGAAAAACGAGGGGAAAGAAAACAACGAGGGAAAACGAACAAAAAAACAACGAGGGGAAATAAACAAACGAGGGAAAACTAACCAACAAAAAAAACAAGGGAAAAGAAACCACGAGGGAAACCGAACCAACAAAAAAACGAAAAACACCGTTCAGGTCCAGCCCTGCGCTCCTGCCCCCGCTCCTGCATGGGGTGGACCTACACGGTGTTTTTGGCGATGCCGTGGGCCGTGTTCGTCTCGACTTCGTTTTTGTGGAGAGGCGGATTGAAGACAAAACGAGGGAACACGAACAAAAACACGAACAACAAAAACACGAGGGAACAGAAAAACGAGGGGAAAGAGGGAAAGAACAACACGAGGGAAAACGAACAAAAAAAACGAGGGAAAAGAAACAACGAGGGAAAACGAACAAAAAAAACGAAGGAACAGAAAAACGAGGGCTAAGAACAAAAACGAGGGAACCCGAGCAAAAAAAAACAAGGGAAAAGAAACCAACGAGGGACAACGAACCAACAAAACAAACAAAAAACACCGTTCAGGTCCAGCCCTGCAGGGGTGGACCTACACGGTGTTTTGGCGATGCCGTGGGCCGTTTCCGTCTCGCTTTCGTTTCGCGTGAAAGGCGGATTGAAGACAAAAACGCGGGAGAACGAAAACAAAACAAAAAAAGGAAAACGAAAAACACCGTGCAGGTCCAGCCCTGCGCTCCTGCCCCCGCCCGGACCGCGCCCGGACCGCGCTGCCCCGGCCGCGCGCCGAGGCGCCGCCGACCCCCCCCCCGGCGGAGGCCGCGCGCAGGGGCCTGCCCGTGCCGCCCCGCCCGCGGGCCGCGCCGCGGGCCGCGCCAGCGCGGCGGCGCCCGCGCGCGGCGGCCGCCGCTCGCCGCGAGAGGGCCGCCCGGCAGCGACGACGACGACGACGACGACCACGATCGGGGGAGAAAAAGATACGGATACGTGTTGTCCACCTTCGTTTTCGGCCTTTCCTGGTCCTCCTGGGGAATCCTCGTTGTCACCGCTGGATTCGCCTCGAAAGTCTGGTCAGAACGCACCCCAAGAGAGGTCCGGGGACAACACGTATCCGTATCTTTCCGCCCCCCAACACGACGACGACCACGACCACGATAACGACGACGACGACGGCGACGACGGCGACGACGGCGACGACGGCGACGACGGCGACGCCGCCTCGGGCGGGCGGGTCGGGCTCGCATCTCCCTGCCGCTGCTCGCGGCGTCCGCGATGCAGCGTCTGCAGGGCCGGGCCTCACCGGGGCGCGCTCCGCTGCTTGCCAAATTGCCTATTCGCAAAGGTCAGACATAACACATGCTTGCCTCGATGCCACGGATCGTGGATCCCCCGCGGTGGATCCGGGCCATTTTCGAGCAGTTTTTCTGCGAGCAGTTATTCTGCGAGTAGTTATTCTGCGAGTAGTTCTCACGCGATTAGTTACTTCACTCGAAGAACCAACGACGGCATAAGCATAAGCTTTCGGCGCTCCGAGCGGATCTCTTGAATCTGCGCTGGGGCCTTTTTTGGTGTTCTAGGGTACGATAGGTTCGCGTCGTGTCGACTGGAGGCGACCCCGCCGCCAGTTGGGCCGAAACTCACTGAGTGCGTTCCACTACTCGCAAAGTGCCTACTCGCCAACGCCCGAAGCAACACATGGTTTCTCGATGTCACGGATCGTAGATCCCCCGCGGTGGATCTAAGCCATGTGCGAGTAGTTCATTTGCGAGTGGTTATCTATCATGCGAGCAGTTAGGGTCTCGATGGTTCTGCCATGGAGAGCGTGACGTGCCCACACCAGAAATCCATGGGCGTTCTGGGGTCTCCACTGTACGGCCTCCTGTCCCCAGTCCACTTTTCATGCAGCCAACGGCGCTGCTAGAAGGACCTCGTTGGGTTCTGAAGGGGCTCGCTGTTCCTTAGGTCATGCCGTGGCTGCTCCTCTGGCCCTCTTCGTGCTCCCAGGCTCTTCGGGTACCACAAAAAGGCTTACAGGGCTTCGTTCCTTATCTAGCGTTCCTTATGTCAGCGGCCCGACGCTAGCTACCTGCGGGTATCCTTTCAGTTGTGGGGAGCGCCCCCACTTGACGAACGCACCGCAGAAAACGACTCCCTTGAAGAACGCGCCGCGGTCCTTTCACACTGTTGTGAGATAGGGCCATACACATCAAGGATCTGCCCTTCGAGGGCTCCGTCTTGAAAAAGGTTTGCCCTTGATTCGTGTAAGTAGGCTTTGCAGGACGTCCCATGCGAGAGCCCCATTTCAAAGTTGAATTACCCACCATTCCATCTTGTGTCCTCTTCGGTCGTTTGGGGGCCCTCTTGGAGGCCTCTTGGGCCGTCCTTGGGAGATGTTCGTGCACACGCTTACATGCATAATTGCAGGTAAATGCGGGATGTAGAGCGGCGACCCAGATGGGAGAGGTGGGTCGAAGGATATGCCGTGGCGGAGGGGGTAGGAGGAGAACGGGGCTACTTCTCACAGTTATTTACCAGAGCCACGTCCAGTCTTTCGCGGACTTCTTCGGCTCCTCTCACGCCACTGGCTCCGAAGGCCTGACTCTCGTCGGTAAGATTCAGCAGTGGCCGCTGAGAACGTGCGCGCGGGGCCTGTCGCGAAGTGGCATCAACTCAACCAAGAAGCTCAGGTTAGCATTGGTGATTATTGCGAAGGCCTTACGGCCAGCGCCGCCGACTCTGACGGGGGATGACGGCGGCGATGGTGATGATGATGGTGACGACGCTGACGCTGTGGAGCCGAAGGCTTCTCCCAGCGAGGGATGCTCCCCCCCGCCAGGGCGGGGGGTCACAATCCCCAGGACCAACCCCCCCAGGGACCCCCCCGGGGACCCCCCCTCAAGACCCTCTCTGCCCCACCCCTCTCTGGCAGAGGAGGGATCAAAGGCAAGGGACTTCACTTCGGCTCGGTTACGATGCTGCTCGACGCCCCTCCGTCTGGAAGGCCTGTGAGCGCGCGGCGACGACGAAGACGACGACTCAAACGGAAAGAAACATCTTACGCATTCGGACAGGGTCGGCGGATTTGATAGAGGTGAACGGGATGTATGGTGGGTTCATGCTGCGTTGGCGCGCCAGCGACGCCGCCGAATACTTTCCAGGATGAGTGTGGTCACGAGAAAGCACCGAGGGCCACGGTGACGCCACCGGACCCGACGGAATTCAGCCTTGAACGATCGGCGCCATCGAGTCGAGGTTGATCGATCGACGCGGTGACAACACCTTGGCGCGCGCCGCCGCGGCACGAGCCTTCCGCACAGTCAAGGCGCGGAAGCAAGGATCCTTGAGGGCCGAGGAGGGGGCTCTGGTTTTCGGGCCGCTCCTTGGATCTAGTCTGGGGAACCCATTCGGAGGGCACCAACTATACACCAACACCGATCCTGGCCCAGGATCACCCTGGGCCCAGGATCGGTGTATATGCCTTCTTGCGCAAGGCAGGAGGGCGTATACACCGATCCTGGGCCCAGGGTGATCCTGGCCAGGATCGGTGTTGGTGTATACTTGGTGCCTTCCTACCCATTCGTGGCCGAGGCTAGCCTTTGCCAGAGAAGCCCCTTCGTTCCTTGTCTGTCGTTCTCTCTGGTGGCGCGACGACTGCACGGCAACCTGGAGCGCATCACGTGTGAGCCCAGACGGTCAGAAGCGCTGTGGATCCTCGCTGCCAGGATGGGGCCAACGGACAGAGAGCAGCGGCACGCCCACCTGTCGCGGAAACGGGTGAGCAACATATCATGCTCGTTTGTCGCCTCCGCCGCTTGCCCCCCCCCCCCCCCACACGGCTAACTGCACATGATTTCTCGCGTTGCGTGCGGACTCCTTCGTTGCTGCCCCCACGGGTACAGTTGCTTCCCCGCCTCTTTGTTGAATCGCGCTGCTCGCCTGCGTGCTTCTTCCCGCGTGAGACGGCGCCCCAGTTGCGACACATGCGTGCTTCTCGGTGTATAGATCGGGTGTGGCATATGGTGGCACGTGCCATTGCTGTCCAGGGCGTGCATGCACAACTCTTGATCCGTCTCGCATCTCCACCAGCCCCTCCCGACACGGTGCCCTGCAAAAGAGTTGCATGGATGAAGAGGTCGAAGGAGATGGGGAACATGCGGAGGATCACGGTGAGGACGCAGAAGGAGGACAAGGAGAATTGGCAGGAGGAGGGAACAGGAGGAATGGGAGAGGATGAGAAGGAGGACGAGGAGGATGGGGTCGAGGACGAGAGGAAACAACAACGAGGAGGAGGAGGAGGCCGTCGCGGACCCTTCGTCATGAGGGCCTCCCGGGGGAGGACTCTCGGCGCTGTCTTGGGGTCTTCTCGCGGCCTTGATGGTGTCCTCTTGGGACTGCCTTGGAGCCCTCCTGGGGCGGTTTTTGGGGGGTCCCGGAGCTCTCCTGGGGATACTGGAAGAGGTGTGCATAACTTGGGGCCCCCTTGGGGCGACCCGGGGCCCCAATAGGTCAAAACAGGGAGGGGGGCGCTGCACATGGGCCCCTCCGCTCGGAGGCCGCACCGTGCTCGATTCTCTGGTGCTCTCCTGTCGCGTTGCTGGGAGCCTCGCGTTGGAGGCTCGTCTTTGGGGGATTCCTGGGCCCACTTAACGGATCTGTTCGACCCCAGTTCGACGCAAGTTCGACGCAAGTTCGGCTCCAGCTTGACCCGAGTTCGACGCAGGACTCGACTCGGGGTCGACGCAGGGCCGACTCGCCTCGACGGCCGCTCGACGCAGCTTCGACGCACGAGCGGAGCGAACGGCTCCTGGAAGGTCCCCAGAATGAGCTGCCAAGACTCTCGGGCGGCCCCCTCCTCCTCCTCCTCCTCCTCCTCCTCCTTCTCCTCCTCCTCCTCCTCCTCCTCCTCCTCCTCCTCCTCCTCCTCCTCCTCCTCCTCCTCCTCCTCCTCCTCCTCCCCCCCCTCCTCCTCCTCCCCCTCCTCCTCCTCCTCTTCCTGCCCCTTCCACCTCCTCCTCCTCCTCCTCCTCCCCCTCCACCTCCTCCTCACCTTTTGCTCTTTTGGGGCCCTCCTTGGATGGGAGCCTTTCCTCTCGGGCGGCCCCCTCGGGCACCTCCAGTCGCACTGCTCGTCGGCGTGCTCCCTGCGTGCGGCTGGCTCAGGGCAAGTCTTTTCGATCGCGCTGCATATAGTTCGAGCAGGGAGTCGGCTGCAGCACTGCCTTGCCCAAGAGTTGGCGCTCCCACGTCGAAGCCACGAGCACATGCGTCGTGGAATCGTGGCGCAGATCTGCGCAAGAATCCTGCGCGCTTTTCGCACCTCTTCGACGGGGGAGAACCATCATCATCTTTTGGGGTGGCAAGAAGAAATTCTGCGTTCGATCCCCCACTCGGAGCATAGTTTCGCCTGCCCCCCCCCGCTGGAGCTCACGGGCGGCGAACACGTATCTGGTTCCGCTCGGGCGGGTGGCAATGGGGGGTGACCCAAACGGGGGGGTGCAGATGAGGGCCCCAAAGGGGCCCTTTTAAGACCCCTCTCGGAGCCAGTCGGGGCCCAGAAGGGGCCCTGAAGGGCCCCTTTTTTAATGGGCCACCCCCTACAGTCGAGTTTGATTAGTAGGTCGACCCTGCCGAAACAAGGGTACTCATGTGTCCCGTGTTTCGCGACCCATGCCCTCTACGTTCCATTGGCAATGTGGCCATCGCAAGAGTCTCGTGTCCTCTCGTGTGTCCTCTCCAATCCACCCCGACTGTATTAGCACTCGCCCGAGCATCTCTGTCCGCGCCCTCGCGGCCTGGAGCTCCCGGGCGCGCTCCCGTGGACACGCGCGGTCGCACGCAGGCGCCCCG